TATAAGAGACAGCTTGAGTATGCATTCCGGCTGGATTTTCTTTTAAGCACCAATAATATAAATAATTGAGGACATTAAAAAGGGGCTGTTAGTTCAGATCTAAAAGAGCAGCTAGAACGGTATGGCATGTCATTTTATCATTTATATTACTGTCAGCCAACAAATTATTTATCTCCGCACTCTGTGAGCGCTGCACTCTGTGAGCGCTTGGTGACGTAGCCACTTTTTCTCTATGACGCAACGAAACGCGACACGCCGTCTGCTGATTATCGGTGGCCGTCTGCGCGGATTGCCGCGATCTATCGTAATCAATTATATTAGTTAAGCAAACTTTCATATTCTAATTTGATTTTTTTACTTCATTTTTAATTTTAAGAATTTAATATAATATAAAACTATGTAATATTATTATTATTTTGACTGATAATCAAATAATTAAATCTTTTCTGCATTTCTCTAATTCATTTTCACTGAAAAGAACAGAAGGTTGATAATTTTTTTGTATATATAAATGTAATTATTAGTTTGGTATCACGCAAGTTCAACACATATTATTCAAATGTATCATCTTTGTTGCCTTTCAGCTAAATTGTCATTGCTAATGATAAGAGTAAAATGCAGAAAACATATGATTGCATTTACAATAAATAACATGCAATGTGAATCGATTTCATCGTGATACCTTTAAGTGAGATCCTATCGCGCGCATAATTAAATATGATATTGAGGATTTTTTATTATTACGATTATTATTATTATCACCATTATTATTATTATTATTATTATTATTATTATTATTAGGCCTATTATTATTATTTTTATTATATTATTATTGTTATTATTATCATCATGATTAATATTATGGTTATTATAATCATTATTATTATTGTTTTCATTATTTTTATTATTATTGTTATTATTATTACTATTATCATCATCATTATCATTATTATTATTAATTATTAATAATAATAATAGTAGGCCTATTATTTTTATTATCATGATTATTATTATTATTATGACTACCACTACCACTACCAATACTATTACAATTACTATTACTATTACTACCACTACTACTACTACTATCAGTTAATTGTCTAATGCATTTTATTTTGCTGTATTCACATTGTTATATTCAGCAATGGAATTTCCCTATAGTGGGATGAATAAAGTCTCCTTGTATCACTGGATGCTTCAAATAGCGACGTACTCCGGAGAGTACCCGTACTATAATGCATACAACCTGGTTTTATCATTTGGAGGTCCTGTAGATATGTTTTAAACATTGCTTTGCTGTTTCAGTTTTTAGGTAATCACATTACAAATTCTATTATTACCGTGCAAACACTTTACTAAATGAAATTATAGTCGTATGTTATATTCATGTTCGCAAATAATTTGCAACATTGCAGACTGAGTAATCAAAATTTAAAATAAGCGATGATTAAAAAAAAGTCAGTTGTGTTGGCCAATATAAAAAATATGTACTACCCTTGGCATTGCAATTTTATTTTCTCCTGCTTGGAAATGTAATTTTTTTTCGATGATTGGGGTGGAGTGAATGATTAACAGTAACCTTGTAAATTCATTGAAAAAAAATATATCGTCGGGATCGAGCAAGCGCCAATTTAAGTGCGGGTGACGTTGTAAAACAAATTGCATTTTATTACACATAGGCCTACCTACAACTTTTAACCGTAAATTTTTGTTTTTAATTTTGAGTAGGCCTATGCTCCAACCAAGTAATGTAGATTTTAAATGATTATACGAAAGCTCTCAGTAAACAAATGTGGCCATGTTTACGAACAACAGAATAATAACTCATTGTAGTTGAGTAATACTGTTTCCTTCCTTCGAAAACTTTTATTTTCAAAAAAAATATAATTTTTATAACTTACTCCCAAAATTCTATAGCAGCAGGGACGAGTTTTGTTCCGTTAATCTTTCCGTCGTAGACTGTACCGTTGTACCATTGGCCGTCAAAGTATCGGCTTGTGTAGTTGTTTGCGTTGGCTGCGACAAAATCGTCAACACTTGCACAATACTCTGTATTCCAATCGTTGTTACAGTTCGACCAAGGTAGCACACTCGTGAAAGAATTGAACATATAGAACAGGGCCCATGCTATGATGACGTTGTAGTAATAGTTCACGAATTGTACCACCACCATATTGGCGACACCGATTCCTGAATAAAATCAAACAATGCGTTGTTTATGAAAATATATTCGGTGCTAAAATGTTGTCTTTTTTTTTACCGTTTACAATAGTTTTATTGTATATTTATTCCCGGCCTATTTCTATAGGCCTAGGAATCCATAACTGATTTATACATAATTTATCAGTGTTAAAACGGCTATTTTG